GTCTGCTACCACTGCATTCAGATACCTGGGGCATCTTTTTTTCTGCTTAATTCCCAGGACGTTTTGAATAAATATGTTTAACATGGTAATAGTGGTTGCCATTTTTATTTTATACTTAACTGTACACCAGGCACTATACTAGACGCTTTGGAAACACTCCATTTTAATCCTAATTCCAACCTAAACAGGGAAGGGTTATTCTTCTCATTTTGTAGATATGGCAACTGAGGACTGAAAAGGTAAGCAGCTTTTCCAAGGCACCACACAGCCAGCACGAGGCTGCTACTCTGTCTTACTCTATGGTCTCCCATTTGGGAAGAAAATTGCTCCGAGGGAAAGACGTGTCAGATCCCTAGCTCTGTCATAGCCCTGTAATAGACCGATACATCTCAAAAGGAAGCTTAAAGTAATACACCCAATATCACATAAAATGAAACCCAGAAGGACCTGGGTAGGGATGGGGATCTGTCGTCCCGGCTGTGTCTATTAAGAGACCTAGGTTTGGTGGCTGTTTTCTTTTCCCTTAATTTATACAGCTGTAGCGCTCCTCAAAACCTTATTCTTAAACTCAAAAACATGGTGTCACAGCTGGTAATTTTAGAAGGAGGAGGAGAGAGCAGGAAGAAAGAGAGACCGCGTGGGAGGAAGTGTGGGAAGCCGCTTCAGCCCTGCTTTCAGGTCCAGCCAGCACTTCCTGGGCAAGACGCCCCTCTCTGTTCCCTCCCTCCACCCCTCAACTCCTCAACCCCACTGCCCTTCAAGATGCAACCTAGATGGACGCAAGGACCTGAAGCACCTGGGAATAAATTAATTCTCTCAAATGCACTAGTAATTGAAAACGACACTTTTCCAACCATTTCCCCAAATGGAAAGAAAGACCCACTTTTCAATATTCAGTAAAAACAAGCTTGGTGATGTCCAAGAAGGATCCAGAACTACACATCTGACCATCAGTGGTGTGTAAGCAAAATGCCAAATTCTAGACTTTCCATCCACTGACCAGTCATATGTATGCATACAGAGTCGAGATCAACTCAAACACCTTCTGCACAATATTCTAAACATGATGGGAAGCTGTCTGTGGGTCCCAGACTCTTCCACAGGGAGGGACCACCCAACGTATAGAAATCCACAGCTGAGCTGCCTGTCAACACCTGCTTCTCAGAGTTGGGTCCCGTGTATCCCTCGGGGGGAGGTGAGCAAAGCCACAGGATTCCTGCAGCACACTCACCAGCGGTGCCAATTTGAAGTCAAAAGTTGGGAAATAAAGCAGCAAAGTATTTGTGCTTCCTGCATCCACCCGGGTATGAGACTGGGCTATCAAACTGTCCTGTCCAGAACAGAAGAGAGACATCTCTTAGATATTGAAGCTGACCTGTGGTATCAGCTCCATTCAAGCCAGCAGAATCTCAAAAGTCCATGGATTCGACAGAAACACATCACCCACTAACCAAGAGAGTAGAAAATTTGGTTTTGACTTGCTTTGTTCTTCTCAGGACAATTCAAAGCGTTATTTTGATGTTGAAATTCAGTACAATATGGTACACGATAAAAGACACACATCAAGTTTTACAATAAAACACGGTCTCAAATTTAAAAAAAATTTTTTTAAACAGAGGCGCGGGGGATGGAACCCAGGACTTCATGCATGCTAAGCACACACTCTACCACTGAGCTGTACCCTCCCCATCAAACTTCTTTTTAACTTGAAGCAGATCGCCGTGGGCTACACAGTAGAGAGTAAGAAAGAATTCACTCTTCTCAGCCGTTAAGATATTTTAGCAAAGTCAGTACTGGAAAAGAAAGGAGGCCATGTTGGAACCACAGCCTCAGGAGTACAGTTCCCTCGGGAAGACAGTCAGCTCACAGCATGGGAAAAGCTGGCCCCGGGGAACTGCAGCGGGGACCTGACCCCCGCCAGGGGCCGGGATGGGCTGGTATTGCCCTTGTATCAGTTATCTCAGCCCTGAGGCAGGGACAATGGGGGCTGTCCACTCCTCCATTCCACAGATGGGCAAACTGAGGTTACGTATGGAACAAGGAAGGGGCACAGGTGGGTGGGAATCTGAACCTCATCACCACCCCACTCCTGGCAGCGCAGGCCTCAGTGTGGTCACCCAACCTCCCCCCAACCACTGCCCGATTCTACCCTCTCATGCAACACCTGCTGTTCCCCCGACAAGCACCCCTAACCTTGGCCGGACTTCTCCTAGGCCTGCCAAGGTCCACAGCACAGCTCCCTCATTGGGGGAGGTCCACCAGAGCTCTTGAGCCTCCTGTTCAAGGCAAAGAGGCATCCCCAGCATTTGTGTTAAAGTAGGAAGGGGCTATTGGGCTGAGAGGTGCTTGGCCTTCTGGATCACTTGACAGTGGTGGGAGCTCTGTGAGGGGCTGGAGCGTCCCAGAAGGCAGCCACCCACCATATGGGACTGATTAGGGCTTGGAATGTGGCCGGTCCAAACTGAGAGGCACTGTGGGTGCTTTGTATGAAAACAAGAATGTAGAATATCAAATTAATAATTTCTGTATTAATTACATGTTGAAATGGTAGTATTTGTGATATACTGTGTTAAATAACTAACATGCATTATTAAAATTAATTTCACCTGTTTCCTATTGAGTTTTGACTGTGGCTACTTAGCAAATTTAAGATCCATTTGTGGCTTATGTCCCGTTTCTATTGGACAGAGCTGGTCCGTACCTTCATGAGACCTCTGATTATCTATTAAGCGTAATGTGGAATCTGTCGTGGTCTGTTTGTTCAGGTGTTGCTGACTTTGTCATCCCCCTTGAGGGAGAGGAGCCAGAGGTCACCTGACCTGGCAAACTGGAAGGGAGGGTCCGTTCAGAATACTTTCTGGAAATCCTCAGCCACTGGGAGAGGGGCAGGCCTTTTCCCTGAGAACCCAAAGCACAGGGAAGGTCAGCCCTCTTCCATCCTCATTTCCTTCAAAGACCAGGACAAAGCAAGTTCTGGAGACAAATGATCTAAACAGAAATAGACCATGGGCCACAAATGCGAGCCATGAATCCAAAAGTTTGGTCAATAAATATTTCATGGCTCTTTGTTTTTAATCACTTTAGGTATATTTCAAATTTTAAAATTTGGTAATTTAAAATTTTGGTAGCCTCATTAAAAATAAGAAGAAAAATGTGCTATTAATTTCAATAACATTTCCTAACCCAACTCATCCAAAATATTATCATTTTAACATATGATGAATATAAAAATTATTAATGATAGATTTCGTGTTCTTTTCTTCATACTAAATCTTCAGCATCTGGTGTGTGTTTTACACTTTAAAGCACATCTCCATTCACATGTGACCAGTGGCGGCCAAACCAGATGGCACAGCTCTAGAAAATCGAAAATTCTACCACCCGGCAAGTCCTCAGCCAGAGCAAAACAACGTGAACGCCCACTGCTCCATACGCTATGATACGTCACATGACCTCAGCCTCTAAGATTTATGTCTGCAGGGAGCTCCGATGGCAGCGGAAATACAACTCCGGCTATTTAAGCAGAAAAAAGCAGCGGGTGAAACCGCACTATCATAATACATAACAGTAATGGTTAGGTGGTGTGGTTGTGGATTTTTGTCTCCCTCTTTATACTCTTCTATACCTTACAAATTTCCTAATATGAATTTAGCAATTATCATTTTAAAACTTAGAGTGATTAACACAATGAGCCATGAAATATCGATTGAACTCCTGTATGCCAGCAGGGCCCTGAGAACTTCTTGTTCTCCAAGAAGGTGAGAAGTCATCCAGGGCCATTGAGGAAGGGCTAATACAACATTCATAGGGAGGGGAGGATTTTCCAAGTTAGACGTTTTTTCCTACACTCTAACTGGGAATGTCAAAAATACATACGAGCAAAGGCTGCAGGGAAATTCGTGCTAAGTCAGCAGCAGAGACAAGTGTCCGATGCGTGTGAAACTCGCGTCTGTCTCGGCAGCAGCGCCTGCTTCTCGCTGGCCCAGAGTTATGAGAGTCGCCCTCATAGGGCAGGGAAGGCAGCTGGGGGGCGGTGGAAGTGCTCAGACTCGAAAAACAGGTGATCGTGCATTCTTTCAGCATGTTCAAAATATGAATCAAATTATTTACCAAACGCCTGTAGCTGTCTGGTAGGATACACTGGCCGGCCACAGGTACTAATTTAAAGTCCAACCCCACCCTGCTCACACACGTGTGTGCCTCTGCGCACATGCACACACACATACATTCACACACACACACACACACACACACGTGAAGAGGTCTGAAATAGCCTAAGATCCAAGGATGCTGCAAAGCTTGTTCAGAATGTGTCTGTGCCCGCGGTACCTCCATTTCCCCCACAGGATGTAATTTCCGAGCAGCATCCTGGTGGCCGCACAGGCGGCATTTCACTTAGGAAAGAACAGGTAGGCACACTGCAAGTGGGAAGGTCTGGGAGTCCCAGCTGCACCTGTCATTTGTCCCCTAATCTCGAGCTCTCTCTGAGTGTGACTGCTGCTGGTGATCAGACATTCCTGCTTGAGATTAAATCGAGGTTGAACCCATTTGCCTTAAAAGGTAATGAACTAGGTTAGGAGGTGTCAGGCTCAGGAGCGGGGGGCATGGGGCGTGATATCTAAGGGGGGCAGGGTTGCTTTGGTGGGGATGAGAGTGTTCTAAAATTGATTGTAGCAATGATTGCACAACTCCTGAATATATTAAAAGCCACTGAATTGGACACTTTAAATGATGAATTATATGGTATATGAATTACATCTCAATAAAACTTTAAAAAAGAGATGAGCTCAGGTAAGAAAGCAACTCAATCCCTTTTACAGCAATGGAGCTCCTAGTTAGCTCAGTGCTGCTTTGCCTGAATAAAGAATGGGAACGGCTCTGTGTTTCTGTGTTAGATAAAGACTCATTTATAAGCAGAACTCTCCTCTGCAGCACATCCAGGGTCTCTCTGCCAAAGGAAGGCACGATGGTTCTCGAAAGGCTCATACCTTTTCACTGACCTTTCTGTTCCTGCCGCACTTCTAGTCTCATCTGAAATGACCTCGCCCGTGATATTTGGAGCATCCTTCTCAGGAACTAAAGGTAAGGTAGATGGGCCAGACCCAGGGCTCTTTCTGGGATTAAAAAAAAAAAATTTTAAACAATAAATATTAAGAAGGGCATTTCTCTCCATGTCCTATTAAAAAGCTCATTTCCTAATTAAAGCTTAAAGTGGCCACTTCACCAAAATCTTTAGGAAAAAATTAGCTTCAAGCAGTAAACGGCTTTGAGATACTCAGGGCTCATTTAAGCCTCTCTGTATAAATAAATTCATATTCAAAAGCAGATGTGTCTGCACTCCAGAAAAACATCTGATTGACTACAACATATCACCCTATAGTGTACTGCCAGCCTGTACACATTTCATGCTTTTCAAACAGTTTCAGTTAGATGAATCAAAGAACACAGGAAAGGAGTAAGGCATGTCACACAGACTGGCTCCCATGCCTCCAGCCCATTTCTCACATTTTTCAGAATCTCAGCACATCCAGAGATTGTTAAGCAGGTAAATTTAGACACTTAGATATGGAAAATTTAGCTTCTTAAAAACTACCCATCTATTTGATTGACTTTTTAAAATCCTCCCGATTTAAAATCACATTTGAGGCTGACCCCATATTCTGGTGGGAGTTTATTTTTTGTAAGTACCTCTCAGTGTTGAGCACTTCTGGAACCAGGCTTTGCATCTTTGGGTCCCCAGCTTCGTCAGGTTCTGGAGGTGAGGAGACACCCAATTTCTTGTCCCCAGAGGGAGCGGGGAGCTCAGGCTCGGGCTGCTCTTCGGCCTGCAGGTACCCGGCCGGGCTGTCCCTGCTCAGGACGGCTGCAGCATCCATCCTCAGATCCCCTTCAGGGCAGCCTGCGTCCCCAAGGCTTCCTGGCAGCACCGAGGCACAGGTGGCACTGGAGAACATTCTTGTAGTACCTGTTTCAGGCAGGTCGTCAGACGCACGTGCCCTGGTCTCAGCTGTGCTCAAAGTGACGTCACCCTCTGCATCCCTAGCAGCTCCTGCTACCCAGCCAGGCTCCGGGCGAGTGTCTGCCACTTCCCCAGCTGGTGGCTCCAGGGCGCTCTGGTTGCCCAGGGCATTTTGTGTTTCTGAGATCCCAGTCGCACCTCCATGCCTTCTCTCACCTCTAAGTGTGTCTGGGGTGCAAGGCTCACTGATGGCCCCGGTCCCGGTAGGAACGTCCCCGGGGACAGAAGATGCTCCCAGGGCAGAGGTGGACACTGGCATGGGAGAAAAGCCCCAGGCACCATCTTCTCTGGGTTGGCTACCGCTGCTGGATGTGTCTTGGTGCTGTTTTCCAGAAGGAATTCTGTCGTCCTGAACTGAGTCCCCTTCTCCACGGCTCTGGGGAGCCACCTGCAAGTCAGCAACAGGAACCTCTGGAGAAGTCGCCTGTGAAGGCAGACCGGAAGCTGATTCCTGCCGGCAGCTTCCCTGCTGTGCAGGGGCCTGGCCTCCAGCCCCGGGCCTGCCTTCCCCAGCCCCCTCCGATGTCTCACTTTCCGTCAGCCTCTGTGGGACCCCACTCGTTTCCATCCCCACACTGGCACCTGGCAGGTTTTGCTCTGCGGCCAGCTTTTCTGGAGCTGGATCCTGGGGAATCAGACAGGAAATCTCGGCCTCTACGGCCAACTCTTGCTTCTTGTCCTTTGAGTCTACCCAGAGTCCAGCAGGAGGGCTGGGAAGAGGGGCGACGGCCACGCCTTGAATCCCATCTGGAAGCTTCCCTGGGCTGGGCATGGCAAGGTCCTTGCCCGTCACACTCCTCCCAGCTCCTGCCTTTTCTCCCAGTGTGCTCTGGAGCCGATCGGCGGTCAGTGCTCCCAGGACAGACTTCTCAAAGATCCTGGTGATGTGCTCCCTGAAGTCAGGGAACCCAGTGACCATGCTGGTCTGCTTGGAGCTTGCATCTACATCAACTGCTGCTCCTCTCCTCGGGTCCTCGGAAGGGTCTACCATCTTCTCCCCGTTACTCTCTGCCTCCCTTGCTATATCACCTGCCATGCTCTCCTCCCTGGTGGGACGTGCGGGAATTTCACTGGGCTTGGCACTTGCACCGGGAGCTCTTGATGCTCTCTCCTCCGCTGTGGTCTGCTTACCCATGGCCAGAAGTGGCATCTTGTCCAGGTAGGGCACAGAGTCCACAGGTCCCTCAAAGGTCCCAGCTTTGGGGCTTCCGCTGGGGTCTTGTGCTGCAGAGATTTCTCCATCTGCAGCTCCCGGTTGTGAAAGGGAGGCGAGGGAACCCACAGGCACCTTCATGGAGGAGGCGTTTTCCAAGACAAGCAAGGGCTCCCGTACAGGACAGGGGCTTTCACCGGGAGCTGTGGGGCCTCGAGATGAAGCGGCTTTCACCCCACTGTCCTCTGTACCTGTGCTGGCAGCGCCATCAATATGCAGGTAAGGAGTGTCAGGAGCAGCCTCTTCTGGTGGCCCGGATGGCAGGAGCCTCTCTGGGTTGGGGACAGCCTGGACTGCAGGAATATCCACGACACCCCTGGGAATCCCACCCAGCTCTCTGGCTGGCAGCAAGGCATCCTGGCAGCTGACCAAGGGCTGCTCAGCTTGGCAGGGCTCACCCAGGGCACAGGTAGAAGCTTCCTCCCCAGAGGAGGGGCACTGCTCTGTCTGGAAGAAGCCACTGCTTAGAACAGCTTCTTCTGACTCCCCCGGAGCCCACTGCATCCCCAGGTCTCCTCCGTCAGTGTTCCCACCAGTCTCAGCAGCCTCACCTTCTGCACCTTGATCCTCAGCTGATAGGACGTTTGAAGGAAGCTTTTGGGTTTCTGCATCCAAGACAGTGGGGCACTCCATTTCCTTCTGTGGGGCCAACCCTGATTGCTGTCTGCCTTCCTGGGTTTCATCACATGTATCTCTCTCAGGGGCATCCTGGCTGGGAGTGACAGGGGAGCCAGCAGGTGCTGGAGCTGCATCCAGGGGAACTACTGAGTCAGGCCAACAAGGTGGGGCCATCACTGTGTCCCCACTTGCCTTCTCTGTCCTGCCCGAGCCCTGGGGCGGGGGCTGAGCGTCAGCTGCTTCAGCATCTTCAGCCCTGAGACGGGCTTCTTCCTGCGGGCTGCCGGCTTTCAGCCCATCAACCAGCTCCTGCTGGGACTTGTTTGGCCCCTGCCCAGTGTAGCAACTTTCCTTTCTGCTCAGGCTACCTTCAAGAGCAGGGTCTTGTAAGGTGTCTGCTGCAGGAAGTGAGACACTAGAGGGCTGGCTGCCGCTGTGATCTCCCTTTTGCCCATCCTCCCCCAATGCAGGCAACTCCGGGCTCATTGGTGCTGACAACTCTGACTGCCCTGTCGTAGGATTCTCCTGAACTGCGTCCCCAGGAGCTGAACTTGGAGCATCAGACAGACTGCCTTCGGAGAGCTCACTTTGAAGTTCTGATCCAGAAGCCTGCTCCTTTCCTCCTTGAACAGGCAGGGGCACATCCTCCGGAGATTCCACAGGTATGTGGGTTGGGGTGGAATCTGCACTCAGGTTCTTAAAATCAGCACCACTTGGAAAAGTCTCTTTCTCATTCTCACACCGTTGGGACTGCTCTGGGAGCATATCAAAGATGGATGCTTCTGGGTCCATTTGGGACGGCTGGGGACAGTTCTCAGAATACAGTGAGGACCTCTCTGACTCAGCTCCTCGCTTCCCACTGTCCCCGGGGCAGCACAGGTTTCCCTGCTGATCTTGCTCCAGGCTGAGTGTCGTGAGCCCACAGTCCACTGCCAAGTTCCCCTCTTTAGGGGGAGGCAGCCCATCAGCGTGGACTTCCTGTGCAGCTGCATCACGCCCCAGCCCACAGGGCTCGGGGGATGTCAGCAAGCTCTCCCCATCACAGCTGCCGGGCCTCTGCTCGGATGGGTGGCTCCTCGCCTTTATTTCAGATGTGCTCTCCGCCTCCGGGGCTTTGGGGATGACCTCGGCAGCAGGAGTTGACAGGAAATCCAATTTGTCAGATTCTAAAGCAGGAAGAGAGTCCATTATCCCCAACCCCGCCACGTCCTGAAGGGTGTCAGGACATTCGGTCTGCAGTCCTGGCCCCTCCCAGACAGCTCTCTCGGGAAGAACGTGTTCACCAGCTCCATCCGGTCCAGAGGGCGGGACAGGGTCCTGCTCACAGATCCGGTGCAGTGAGTCAGACTCAGGGACCCCTCCGGCTTCTCCCATCATCCCACAGGCCTCCGAGCTCCAAGCTGCCTCCTCTGAAGGAGCGCCGGGCCTGTCCGCATGCCCGGGGATGTCCTTTCTGAGTGGCTGTGCAGCGGCCGTGCTGGGGAGGCCTGTGCTCTCCACATCGCTAGTTAGCTGGGAAACCTGGTCCCTTTCCGCCTCTGGGTCAGGCTTGCAGCTGCGGGCCTCAGGTTGCTCTTCCCGAAGGTTCCCAGGACCCGCAGCATCAGGTGGCTCCGGGGCTTCTTCCTGTCCTCTAGGGTCGGCGCCAGGTAGTCTGCTTTCTTCCTTAAGCACAGCTGGACTTCCAGGGGCCTTGACTTCATCCTTCGGCCCCAGCGACTTTCTGACACTTTCATCTGATGCACTGGTGGGGGAGGGGGCAGAATCCCTTGCTGGACTTCGTTGTTCTGCTCCCTGTTCAAGATCTCCCCCCTCTCCTCCTGGGGTGAAGGGGCTGGAACCTCTCTGGGGCCCTTTCCTGGACCCTCTCCCTCTCCTCCAAGATCTGATGCGAGCTTCTCCTGAACTGCCAACCCGGCTTCTGCCAGCTCTTTAGCTGGATCTGTAAGACCAGGCATCTCAGCCCCAGAAACCAAGTCCTTGTTCAACCAGCTGGGTTGTCCTGCAGCAACAGAGGCCGGAGCAGCTGGCTGTGAAGTGAGGCCTGAAGCTGGACCCGTGTCCTCGGTCACTGCGTGTGGGAAAGGCTCAGTGCCCGCAAGTGAAGCCCCCTCGGGTTGCTCGTCTGCTGCCGCACAGACATCTTGACTGGGCTCGGCTCCTGGCCTCCCTGTCTGCCGGTGACCCTGAGCATCTCGGGCACCCAGCATCTCCTCCCAGGTGCCCTTGGCCCCCGGCACCAGGGCAGGACTCGGCGAATCCCAGGGCAGCTCTGTGGGTGGCGGATGAGCTCCCATTTGTTGCTGGCAGTTTTCCTGGGAAGCGGCCTTCGCTTCGGCTTCTTGGGCAGCCTCTGAATTGCTCCTACTGGGAGGGCAGGCCCCAAGGGAATCCGGATCATCGGTGAAATCCTGAGGCAGCACTGCCACTTGACATTTGGGGGCTGGATCTTGTGGGGTCGGGGTCTCGGGTTTTGAGGGAGGCTCTTCCAGGCCAGCTGAGCTTTCTTGTACTGGCTGGGCTGCAGCAGGCGCCTTAGGGGCCCCTTGTCCAGAAGGCGCTCCCTGCCCAGGCTCTGGGAGGGGGAAGCCAACTACAGCCTCTTTCCCTTGGGACTCGAACCCACCAGGCTGGCCATCCTCTTCACACAGCTGTCCCTTCATCGGCTCTCTGGGAGCTGCTGGTGAAATTTCTGGCAACTGGTCAATGAGACTGGAGGAAGACACTTTCTGCCTCTCTTCTTCCTTCAGGTCTCTCTCTCTTCCGGTGTTGGGGACAGTTGCAACCACACTGCGCTGAGTAGAGCTGTCCCCCTCGGGGACAAAGGCTGCTGGAGCATCTCCCTGGGCACCTGGGGAAGGGTCCCTCCAGGGGGGTTGAACAGGGGACCAGGCTTCAGGTGCTGCTGCTGGACTTGCCAAGCGGCCTTCTGGGGGGCCCTCAGCAAAGGGCATGGAGGCTGAGGGACACTCCTGCTCCCAGGGCTTCAGGGGACTGGGCAGCGGAGAAACTTGTGGGCCCCTGGCTTCTTGTGGGTGTCTCCTTGGCTCAGTCACCTCTGGGGACACGATGCAGGGATCCACGCTGGCAGCACCCTCAGAAGTGGAGCAGGAACCTCTGTGCCCGAAGCTGCCAACAATGAAAAAATTTAGTGTGTTATCTGTTCCTGCAGGTGCCAAGGACAGACCACAGCACAGGCAGAATCACTCCAACCCTCTCCCCACTGAAGTCCGCACCACACGGCATCCTCATGCAGTTTACTCCTTTCCATGAAGGGAACCCCCCAGACCCACCGCCCCACAACCATTCCTCATGCCCTCGCTTTTTCCAAAAATCACTGCAGAGACTCTCCAACTTTCAGTCTGAGGCTTTCTATGCTGGTCAGTGGTGTGAATGGGGAAATAGGGAAACGAATGATTTTCTAAAATGTGGGAAACTTAGAACATTTTTAATAACTGTAAGAGGATTTGGACAAGTTCTGTGTAGTTTACAAAGAGGTCTCGAACACTCCTGGGGACCCTCAGAGGTTCAGGGAAAAAGCAAAACTGGGCAAAGCTGTGCTTTGAAATACAGAGCTATTCTTGATAAAAGGTTAACTTGATTCTTTACATCCAGTGGATGGTACTTGGAAGCATAACCCAAAATCAATTCAATTTAGCTGTGGAATTTCTGTATATGATCTATATGTAAAACTCCTCAGAGCTGAATTACCTTCATACCCACATCTGTCCTACCTTGAACTTACTTTGCCGTACAATGTGTAGAGAAAAACTATGAACGTGAAGGAAACTTGGGGGAACATGGCTCAGAAACAAGGACTATAGATAATCAGCTCTCCAGTTACTGTAAAATAGCTCATCATATGCCGTATTTGGACTGTGTTTCTCAAGTCTATATAGTTTTAATTAAGTGCATTTTTAAAATTTAAAAATAATACATGGCCAATACAAAATATTGAAGATGTAGGAAATATATCTCCCACATGCTCATTGCTTAAAGTGTTCTAGTGAATTTCCTTTTCGTTCTACACAGCTTTTTAGGGGGTGCAATTTTTGTTGTTTTTATGCAGCTGTGATTCTATATACTTGTTACGATTGTGTACCTTTTACTATCAAGAAACATTGCCCAAGGCAAAGTTAACAGAAGTATGGTTTTTCTAAGGTTTTTACCGTGTTGTTTAAAATTGTTATTGGGAGGAAATTTTATGGAATCTTCTTGTAACTGTTACACACATATATTTACATATTAATAGACCCACAGTGGGTTTTTGTTTCTTTTTTATTATTTTTTTAATTGAAGCATAGTCAGTTCAATGTGTCATTTTCTAGTATACAGCATAATGTCCCAGCCATGCATATATATGCATATATTCATTTTCAGATTCTTTTTAGTTAAAGGTTATTACAAGATATTGAATATAGTTCCCTGTGCTATACAGAAGAAAAATTTTTAATCTATTTTTATATATAGTAGTTATCATTTGCAAATCTCAAACTCCCAAATTTATCCCTTCCTACCCCCTCCCCCCAGTAACCATAAGAATGTTTCTGCAAGTCTGTTTCTGTTCTGTAGATGAGTTTATTGGTGTCCTCTTTTTTTTTTTTAAGACTCCACATCTGAGTGATATCATATGGTATTTTTCTTTCTCTTTCTGGCTTACTTCACATAGAATGATGATTTTTATTCTTTTTTATCACTGAGTAGTATTCCATTATAGAAATATACCATAGCTTCTTTATCCAGTCATCTATCAATGGACATTAAGGTTGCTTCCATGTCTTGGCTATTGTGTATAGTGCTGCTATGAACATTGGGGTGCATAAGTCCTTTTGAATTAGAGTTCCCACCAGATATATGCCCAGGAGTGGGATTGCTGGATCACATGGTAAGCTTATTTTTAGCCTTTTGAGGAATCTCCATACTGTTTTCCATAATGGCTGTACCAAACTACATTCCCACCAGCAGTAGGAGGGTTCCCATTTCTCCACACCCTCTCCAGCATTGATCGTTTGGACCCACAGTGTTCTGAATGTGACCAGAGGAAAGAGTCTACTCTACATGTCACTACCAAAATCCTAGCTCTCCATGCAGGGCAATGCGTATACACTCATTTATGAGAGATGCATATATGAAGTACACATACTGTTGTATATGAAGTATTGAGTGTTGAAGTACATTTCTGTTAAAATTTAGAAATATGTGTTACGGACTGAGTTGTGTCCCCCTAAAAATCCGTATGTTGAAGTCCTAATCAGTGACTGTATTTGGATACAGGGCCTCTAACAAGGTAATTAAGTGAGGTCATAAGAGCGGGGTCCTAACCCAACAGGACTGATGTCTTCATAAGAAGAGGAGGAGTAAATAACAAGTTTCTTCTGTACAGCACAGGGAGCTCTATGCAATATCTTGTAGTAACCTATAGAGAAAAAGAATATGAAAACGAATATACGTATGTACATGTACGACTGAAACATTATGCTCTACACCAGAAATCAACACAACATTGTAAAAGGACTATGCTTCAATTTAAAAAAAATTTTTAATAAATTAATTTTTTAAAAAAGTAAAAGGAGGAGACACCAGGAGCCGCTCACACAGGCAAAAAGGCCACGGGTGAACACAGCAAGAAGATGCCACCTGCCAGCCAAGAAGAAAGGCCTCCCCAGAACCAGCCCTGCCAGCGCCCTCGCCTGGGAACTCCCGCCTCTGGAACTGTGAAAAAATAAATTTCTTGTCTTGAAGCCACCCGCTCTGTGGTCTTCTGCTATGGCCGTGTGAGCAGCCTAACACAATAGCTATCCTGGGCATTTATTGAACTATCCTTTCAACATTTTTAAGGTTTCAAATTTTCCAAAATGAAAAGCCAGGAAAATAATGACAGATGAAATTCATCAGACATCCATGCGTCACCTGGGGTATCTCATTTCACTCTGCCGGTCGCCCTGCAAGACGGGTATTCTCACTGCCGTGTTGCAGATGAGAACCCTGAGAACAGAGGGTGAGCTTGAATCTGATGGGCCATGGTCTTCTTATTCATTCTCTGCTGCCTCCAAAATAAAAACCTCCAAGGAGGGAGGCTGAATGTTCATGTCCTCAAAATTCAGATGTTGAAATCCAACCCCCCAAGGTGATGGTATTAGGAGATAAGGTCTCAGGAAGATGATTAGGTCATAAGGGTGGAGCCCCCATGAAGGGATTAGTGCCCTTATAAAAGAGACCCCAGAGAGCTCCCTTGCCCCTTCTGCTGTGTGAGGACCCTAGAGAAGACGTCCATCTGTGAACTAGGAAGTGAGCCCTCACCAGACATGGTATCTGCTGGCACCTCGATGTTAGCTCTCCAGCCTCCAGAACTGCAAGAAATAAACGTCCAGTCTATGGTATTGTTATAGTAGCAGCCTAAAGGGACTGACACAGAGAGTGAGAGGCTCTTCACCTGGCTCCAGTGCAGCCTCTCGCCAAGGCCCTCACCTATGAAATGTACACGACATCATATGACATCCTTGAAGGAGGTGTGTACACGTCACTGCACCAGCCACCCTGATTCAACGTCTGTTCCTACACATATGACACTGAAAATATTTCCAGTGGACCCAAGACAGAGAGCTGGCTACTGTCTCAACCAGATTAGCATTTTCAGACCAAAAGCCAAGCTGACAAGGGCAAAGAAGAGAAAACTCAGAGAATAAGTTACGTGAAACCCTCCAATCCTCAAATGGTCACAGGGACAGACGTGCCCACGGAGAGCCCTGACCCCATACTGACTGACACGTGTGAAACCTCTTGGGTTGGCCTCTGCAGAGCAGGATTTCTGGAACTCAAGGGAATGTCCCAGAACCAGCAACTCTGCCCTCCTGATTCTGGCCATTTTCCTTTTAATAAGCACTTCACACTTAACAGTGTCTCACTCATTAACTAAGAGTCAAACCATTTGGTAGCTAATGAGATTAGTGGTGTGTAATTCAGAAATGAAGTGCTCCTATTTGCATCTGCTTGTTCAAGAGGCGCAGAACACAGCCCTCTCTGTGCTGTAATAAAACAAACAAAGCCACTTAGTGGTCCTGCCTCTGACAGCAGCTGCCGGCTCAGGACAGGCGTGTGGCCTCCCTTTAGGCTGCCTGAAGTCATGACCGTCTGGGGACAAGGTGATACAGTCACTCAATCTGGGCATCTTGAAGACCTGTGGGTCTGAGAGCAACCAGGAACACATTTCCCACTCAGTGTGAGGCACAAGATTCCTTCAAAATAAGGACCCAGCCTTGGTTTATTTCACACACACTGAGCACCAGCAATCTTCATGATTGCCCATCAGAAGCAATTTTTTTTTTAAAACCAGATTAAAGTTACTCACCAGGAGCAGATTTGCCCAAGGGCAGGAAAAATTCTGAGAACTGATCTGTGAGGGTTCTGCATTAACTGAAGCTTACATAATGTCCTTTTGTGCTTCAAGATTGAATCAGAATGTGTGGGATGGCGGTTCAGCTCAGAATCCAAAGGCAGCTCTGGTGGGCCGGGCAGCGTGGTGTTCTCAGTGGAAGGCTGTCAGCCCGCAGGACGCCCTGCCTGTGAGTTGAGGTGGGGAGGGCCCAGGGACCGCAGCCTCCTTGGTGCAGACCAGACGCCCCAGCACAACAAAGAGAGAAGCAGGGGGTGCGGGGACGAGAAGAGGGGTGATGTGCTGCAGCAAAGGTCTGAGCAGACAACAGCGTGCAGAAAAGACCCTCTCCACCACCCTAGCTGGAGACAGTCACATCTGGATGGGCTTCTAAATGCACAGTTCTGAAGACACACTCGAGGTGACTAAGAATGCTCAAAAAGAGGAAGGAGGCTGGTGGAGGGAAAAACAAGTTTGGCCCCTGCACTACCAGGCTTTCAGGGAACCAGCAAAACCATTGAACAAAATCGTCAAGAGGGAGAGCTGCCATGTACTGAGCACTTACTAAGGCCAAGTACTTTCAGTTATGATTACGTTTCATCCCCTCGGTAGCCAGGCAGAGTGGATGCCCGCCCAGAACTGCACATACGAAGACACATTTACAGAGAGGTTCAAGATCAGACTCGAGTCCCTGGTGCAAAGCAAGATCAAGCCCTTTCCGGCCCCAGGGCTCTGCCGCTGCCTGCTTCCCTCTACT